GCCTTCCACCAGAAAGGACACTTGCTGTATGCTCTTATCAAAACTATGTTCCTGTGTAAAACCATTTCAGAGGACTATTATTTGAACCCAGAGGTACAATTAGCCCTATGTCTGGGAAAGCATACACATATAATACTTTTATTACCCATTTTAAAAATAAAAGACTCATTGGACTGACTAAATTAACAAATAAAACATTAAAACTAGAAGGAAAATACACTTCGAGTATTGGAGCAATTAACCCTTGAAACAAATTTAAAGTGGAAAGACTCCTTAGATCACAACAGGACACCTCTCTGGGATGTAAGACTTATTTGCCACACTGGTTCAGATGGAAAATCCATCTGACCTCCTCCAGCAGCAGTCATGTAGGCCTGTCAGAAAAGTTCCTCAAAATATTATTCCAGTGTTGGCAGTCAGTTGTTTACTGACTTCAGGAAGGATCTGTATGCAGACCATAGTGTTTATGGCCATTGTGACAAAACACTGGTACAGATCATGAGAAATGACCCAGTGGAAACCTAACTTTTTAAGGTCTGAAACACTCACATGACTAATTCAAAAAAAACCCGAAACAATACACCAAATTCCAAAGTAATGGAACTGACTGTGGGTGTAGTGAAGAATTAGGCTGCAAGTTCATAATAGAGTCTTATACTTCAAAGCATCTCCTTGAATTCTGAATACATTGGAACTGTTAAAACACACACAGGCAAGGATGTTATTTCCAGAGAAGCATTCTTTAATACAGTATTTTTAAGCTGGTTGATTGGGCCACAAAACATCTTGTTTTACATTACCTTGACTGTTTTGTCCATAGAAGCTGAGAGAAGCATGTGACTCTGTTCCCGTACAGGACACCACTGGATTTCATTGACAGGGCCACTGTGTTTAGACATATAAAATATTAAGCTTTTGGGGACTTCAGTTGATTTATATTTGGATCCCAAATATGGCTTAATTAATTCAGAGATCTTTCTCGAAGTCTGCTCTCCCAGTACACCCAGTTTAACATCACAATCTGAGCTGCCTCTCTGACCAGGTTCCTTTGTTTCAGGCGTACTGGAACTTTCTTGACGCAATCGTTTGGGGATATATGGTCTAATTCCTTTCATGGTAGTAGCACTGTCTTTATGTATTCTCTTCTGGGAAACGCCATTTCCAGAGTTTGCTGAAGAGCTTGAGGTCTGTTCATAGTTTCTGTAAGGCATAGATAATGCAGCATGGCCAGGGTATGCCCTCCTAGAATAAGGAGATGTCAAGTCAGTGTTACTATTCTGTGCATAAAGCTCAGAGGGATCTTCACAAACAGTGCTTGTGCCAGAACTGCCACTGTTCTCCATAGGGTGCATTTCATATGTAGATTTTGTACCCAAACTACCAGGTGCAAAGTGCTGACCACAACTCACAGAAGACCTCTGAGAGCTTATTTGTGTGCCAAAAGCTTGGGGGACTTCAGTCTTCTCAGTTTCTGTCTCAGAGTCTGAATCTTCATAAGCAACCAGTGACGAACTCATTATGGCTACACACAGCAGACTCCAGAGATCTCAGTGCTGCAATCCTCCAAAATTATGATCTAAAATAAAGAATTGATTATTCAGAGCACAGTTCATTAAAGAGTCTACAATATGAGTAACTTAGGGATGTAAATATGCCTTTCTTAACAAAAAAATCAAACTTTTATTCCTATTTATCAATGGCATTTATTCCTCTACTAAAACACATCTGTACCTTCAATTACACAACACCATTTGCCTCCAAGCCCTTTGCATACATTTTTAATGCACTGCAGAAGTGCATTTGCATACCATAAAACAATGAAAAAGAGTATGAAAAGGAAAACAATCTTGCAATATAAATAATGCAAATCACTTTACCTTACTTGCAGTATTACTTCTCCTCACACAAAAGTAATTAATTATGTAGTGGTTTGGTATGTACATTTATAAGAATACAAATACTACAACTATTTTGGAGTCAGCCTAACAATATCTATTTCTTAGCAGTACAGAGGACTTGAAAGAAGTGTGTAGGGGTTCAACTGGCAACTAAAAAAGTGAACACATTTTTGACCCATTCAGCAGTTGTTGCAGTATGAGGAAATTTTCCAACCATATCCATTGAGTAAGTTCCACACAGCCTTTAGTTTTACACAACAGACATAACAGAAACTACACCAAATTCACTATTTGCATTTACTTACAGAAAAATAAGAGCACAGATGTCTTTACTGTGGAATAAGGTTTTTCAATGTGTCTGTGAGAAAAATCTCATGCTGAGGCTGCATATGTAACATGCTGAATAACTCACCCTCATAATAATCCCACCAGGATTCTTCCAGTAATTTGGATTGAGCATGTGGAATATAGAGTTAACTACATTCAAACAATTGATGTGTCTGCAAAGTAATATTTCAACCTCTGCTGTTTATAGGCAGAAAGTACTGCCAAGATCAATCAAATGGGACATTTTATTTCTGCTTTGTTTCCTTGCCCAGCTGTTAGCACTCATTATGCTGAAGAGATTTAACCCACAACATTTTCAGAGCAGCTACTGAAATTCTTGGTTTATGACAGCAAAGGAACTGCCCTCAAAAGCATCTTGGTGAAAAAGAGAGTGATGCATGAAAGTCAGTATCTTTGTAAGCATTTGCAGAATTGATGCCACAAATGTAAGTCCTACAAATTCTCCTGCAGGAGTAGTGCTCTGGAACTTGTAAAGATTATTCATTTAACTTCAGAATTAAACCTATTTGAACTAAAACAACTATGTTTCACTTAACCTACAGAAGTGTTACATGACAGGCTATTATATTCTGTATCCTGTTATGAAATTTCCAAGCACAGATCCAGAGCAGAAGTACACACATTCATCATCACATATCCTTTCCAAGACAGGTGATCAAAACATTTAACTGGAACAAGGTGACCAACATTTTAGCACATAAAAGCAACAAGATCTCCCTCTAGAGGACATTTTGTCCTTATTTGAAGTTTAAGATAGCTATAAGTGTCAGCAAAGAAGAGCAAGGAAAAATTCTTTTTTTAGTAATACCGCCACATTTATTACAACAACATTTCATTTAAACAGTGTCAAGGAAAAAAATAAGTAGCATATCAAGTAAACTTAACTAAAAAATCAATTCAAAACCGGTAAATTGAAGGTTTTAGCAGTAAATTGAAACATCAAATAAATAGCAGCTTTGAATAACTGTATTGAGTGGTTACTGTTTATACTGCAGTGCTAAAAACAGGGCCCAGCCAAATGCACCATTTCCAAAGAACGAATACAGTAAGAAGTTGACCTCTGGCTAAAAGCTATAAACTAAGATACACAAGCGGATTGGGTTAGACTTGCAAAGCTACTTTATTTATTTTAACACAAAAAACCTCAAGCTGAGATTCAGAACTAAGTGCACCATAGTGCCGTGCGAACATCAGGTTAAAAACATTTCCCATGAGATACTGGAAAGAAACTGTCCCATTGTATCTGGCCAGCACAAATCCATCCCACCACACACATCACCCATACGCGTCAGTACTTTTGTAAAACCAAAGCATTTCTCTCATCTAAAGACTTCCCATCAACATCTGCTTTTAAAGCAACACCACCCAAAGTTTCTTACCTTGCCCTAACTAAAGAAAAACAGGGGGGAGATGGAAACCACAAGGTACTTGATCAGAAACACTGTAACTAGACTGTGAATTTATTAACGATATATGATTTACAATGCGCTGAGCTAATAATTAGAGAAGTTTATAGAATTTCAGTTTTAATTTCCACACGGCTGATTTCCCTGAACACATTGAACCAAGGAGCGTTCAGTCTGTCACGCACAACGCCCCACACCCACTGAGTGATCGCGGATGCTGTGACATGGGAGCAGAGACAGCACCGCAGGTCCCTCCCGCCGGCCCCGGTGCGGTCACACGGGAGGCACCGCCGCCCCCTCGGGGCTGCTTCCTCACTCCCGATGCCCCACGGCCCCCAGAGGGGAAGAACAAAGTACCGGAGAGGGCCCAGAGGAAGCCACAAAGATGATGAGGGGTTTGAAGCGTCTCCCTTATGAGGAGAGACTGCAGGAGATGGGCCTTTTTAGTCTGGAGACTAAGAGGGGATCTCGTTAACGCACATAAATATCTCAAAGGTGGGTCCCAAGAGGATGGTGTCAGGCTCTTTTCGGTGGTCCCCAGTGACAGGACGAGGAGCAATGGCCATAAAACACAAGAACTTTCACCTCAACACGAGGAAGAACTTCTTTACATTGAGGGTGGCAGAGCACTGGAACAGGCTGCCCGGGGAGGTCGTGGAGTCTCCCTCTCCGGAGACATTACAAAGCCACTTGGACGCGTTACTGTGTCACCTGCTCCAGATGACCCTGCCTTGGCAGGGGGGATTGGACTGGATGATCTCCAGAAATCCCTTCCAGCCGTAACGACTCTGTGCTTCCGTGAACACCACCCGCCCCACCTCCCGGTGTCCCCGGAGCAGCCCTGCCCGAGGCAGCGGGTCTGGGCACCGAGGCCGCCTCCTTGCGCTCTCCCGTGGGGTCGTAACCTCTGCATACACGCGCGCGCCCACTCCCCCCGCAGCCCCTGGCGCCGAGGCCACTCGTGGGGCCGGGAGAACCCGATATCGGGACAGCTCCATCCCGGTACCGCTCCGGGCAGGGACAGCTCCCGCCCCCGTGGGACCCTCCGCTCCCGCCGCCGCCGCGCCCACAACTCACCTGCAGGGCCGCCGCCGCGCCGCTTTTAAAGGCACTCCGGGTGGAAACAAGGAGCCCCACTCAATCAGTTCCGCGCGCCGTATCCCCCACGCCAGGCCCGCGCGTTGGGAAGTGAAGCGGGGGTGAAGCCGCTGCTCACTGAGCGCGCAGGAGCCCTTCTTCCACCGTTTCGAGCGGCGGGGAGAGTTCTTCCTTGGGCTGGGGGCTGGAGGAGGACGGAGGGCTGTGAGAGGCAATGGTTCCGGGGGGATGTGTTTCCCAGCCGGGAGGCGTGGTGGCCGTGCCGGCGTGGGGGTGATGCAATGGTGGAGAGCGAGGAGCAAAGGGTGAGGAGGGACGGGAGGGAGTGGGATATAATGGGATGGAGCCGCGGGGATGGACCCTCACGAGCGGGAGGGGGGCTGGCTGGGCAGTCATTGCCGCCCCCGTGAGCGGTGCGAGGCGCTGGGCGCGAAAGGTCTCTGCTGGGCACGTTCCCTCCCTCCCTGTGCGAGGCGTGGATGGGCTGGAGGGCTCTTCCTCTACTCCCTGCGGCCTCCGGGGAGGCGATTTGTCCATCGCCAACGCGTCAGGACAAAATGCCCCGGGAAGGGAAGGACAGGGTGAGATGTCCAGGCCGCAGGAAAATGCGTCCCACCGCAGGAAGGGCAGAGCCGGCCCTGGCCGGGCAGGGTGTGGCAGGGAATACTGCAGGGCTCAGGGAACACTGGCGTGCTGGGTGATTTGGTGCAGACCCGTTGCTGGACAGCAGCTTTGCTCAGAACAGCTGGTGTATAGTAAAGATTCACAGTGGACTTTCTTCAGCTGACAATGGTTGAGTGGCCCTCTTGTCATCTTGAGGAATCATCTTACACGCTCTCATTGTAATTTCATATTTTCATTGGTGTCTGTCATGACTGGGAAGGTAGGTCTTCTATAAAATGCAGCCTGTGTTGGAGTACTTCTCAAGGTGTGTTTCTGTGTGGTACTACCTACTTTAATTTCACTTTTTTGTTTTATTTGCAGGAGGCAAAACAGTTTCCAGGAACGTAAGTGCTGTTAGACTTACTTCCACAGTCTTTCATTTGCTCATGAAAGCTTTTTGTGGACTCCTGTGTTACTGTTGTCTTTGGAAGTCTTGATGTACCTTCATAGGATGTTTGTCATGAAAGAGGTCTTCTTAACATAACATGAAACCCTGCTCTTTAATTCTCGGGTCTCTAACTTACCAAATCAGATTGCAAACAGTGAAAATGATCGTAGGTCTGTGATGGTCATCCGGTGGGACAGAGAGCACTTTTCTGATAACTTTGCCAAGGATTATTTTTGAGCTTTGTCTCACAACGGTTTAATGTTCTGAAATGGCCACAGGAGCCATTACAGATTACCTGCATTGCATAGGTAGACAAGGCACACAAATCTTGGCTTTCAAGTTCACACCATGAAACTGAGGCTTTTAAGTTCATTTTGGATCCTGGTCCCAAATATCCTAATAGCCCATTCTCAAATTCCCATGCACCATTTTTTTACTCCAGATCTGTTTGCCCGTGGTATCTGAGGTGTCTGGGACTTTTAGTTTTCATAATATCACTAAGAAAGTGAGGAAAAAATTCCTGATAAAATGCTGGATATCCAAACATTTTTTTAAATGATTCACAGTTGCATTTATGAATTTCAAAAGATAAAGACCTGTAGTGCACATTACTGAATTCATGGCTTGAATAGGGGCAGTAATGAGGTAAATAGAGATAACTTTTCTGTAGCAGTCAATATGTTTTGCATTTTATAGTCATAATATCTTCGTATCTTCTTGCAGCAACTAGATTACTTTTGTTACTTCCTAATGAAAATGCATCTTCATTTGAGATTCTTTACTCATCTTAAATCCATAATGTTCCAAACATTTTAAAGGGTTCTTTCTGGTTAATGCTTTCCAGTATATGTACTTGGTCTCAGCTGTCATTTCAGCCTTTCTGAGTGGAAGCAATCTATCAGTAGCAATGTCCTTTCAGGGATTAAGTTAAAACACCAAATCACAATCTGTTCTACACCAAAGAAAATTCTTTTTTATATATTTTCTATTTTTTAAAATTTGAAATAAATATAACTGGCATATTTGTACAGAAAGGGTGCGTGTTAATCTTCCTAAACATTTTCTAATATGTGTTTATTCTACACTTTGTTTTCCACTTAAATATCTTGTGCCTATGAAAAAATGGAAAGCACTTATATCCAAATATAAAAAGTTATTAAACTGTAGGAATGCATCAAAGAATTGTTTGATCTGCTTCAAATTAGTTTTTTTTTTAATTACACTGTCAAACTGCAAAAAGTCAAGCTTAAAGGGATTGAGATTAGGTTAAAAATTTAAGTATTACTGGTGAAAGATTAGTCTTTTTTTAGTCAATTATGTAATCTAAATATGGCATCAGAGTTAATAGACTAAGTAAATCACATTAGCAGGTGGATGTATACACTTCTCAGTTTTCTCAGTGTATTCAGCTGAAGCTGAAATAGGGGAATATTGCAGCTGACGGACAAACAAAGCCTTAATCATAGGTGTGTTTTGGTAACCAGCAAGTTACCAAATTGACCTTCCTAAGTTTACTAGGCAGCTGAAGGGCTTTTTACAGTGGCAGTTTAAATATATGCTGTGTAAATATAACCAAGGTTGTGATTAGGCTGATTATTTTGTAGAAGGAAGGCTTTGAAATACTGTGGAACAGCTAAAGCAACTATTACAGGCTTCTGTTTCTTTTTTTTTTCCTGTTACCTCATTTTAACAGCCACAGGTTTTATGATGCTTCCCTGTGTACCTTGTTACTGTGGTATGTTCTTCCTGAATGGATTCGAGATAGTTGCAGTTCCACTTACAGTGTTATTTTTCTGACAGATGGTGTCCTCCTTACATATTCTTAACACTAATTTTCTTCTATGTAAATATGACAAGCTCACTATAACCACAACCATAAAAACTCCCTTCCCGTTTCAAGTTAATGCTTGTTTGTCCTCAGTCCTCAATATTTAAGCAGCACGATGCTTGAATTTTTACCAAAAGAATATTCAGAGCATATATAGTTCTAAAGACCTCATTATTTTGTATAGAGATCTGCTGAGCATGAATAACTTTTGAAAATAAAGATTTTTAAAATAAGGAATTACGCCTCTGCAGTTGAAATGAGTGTTCACACGTGGCAGGTTGATAACAGGTTCACCAGAGCTGTTAGACATAAATAAAACTCTGGGCTTTTTTCAGAGGTTATCTGAAGACAATTTGTAATTTTAGAAAAATCAGAGGGAGAAATTACTGCGATACCATTAATTGCTGTGACACCTTTATGGGAGGTATATGTAGTAAGGTATAAGGTAATTCAGTGCAATCCATGTTACAGGGGTTTCCTGACTTGCTAATTACTAAGAGGTGTTCAATGTATTCTTTAAAATTAAGTACAGCAGAGTTTATTTGTAACATTTTAGAAGATAACTCATAAGCTAAAGACCAAGATTTTTCTGCTGTAGAGTGAAAATAATTTTAATGCATTTGGTAATAGAAACTATGCTTATCTAACATTTTAATGGCATTATTTTACTGTGTTAGTCTACTGTAAACTATGCAGCTGTAGTTTTGCAAAGTCACAGTCACTGATAACTAATAGACTGCTAAGAAACTTTCAGGTGTTATTGTTAATATATAGAACATTATAGTTGTCAGTCTGGGAGAGAAGCCCATTTAGGGAGGCATGGGCACGCTCTGTGGTAGGAAGCTGCAGTGATCAAGGAATATGTTGGACATAGGAGGACTGCTGTGTTATTAGTCTCATCCAACACTTCATTTTAAGCCTTCTCCTATTATTTTTCATGAGTATTTCTGAGAAACACATAGTTCTGCAAATTTACAGCCTCTTACTGACCCAAGGATTCTTTAGAAAGCAGCATTTCTCACTAATCATCAGTGTGTTTGTGACCTGTGCAGGAAGGCCATAAAGAAGATGACTAAGCTTTTGTCTTGTATATCCTTCTTTGGGCTGAAGTACTCTATTACATATACTAAGACAAAATTCAGTATCATAGCTCATCATTCAGAATTTGACAGGGTATCAGTGCAGGAAAATTAACTAATCAGGAATCAGATAACCTCTACCAATTGTTCTGGGTTGCTCTGGATCGTACATATATTCAATTACTTTTTCTTTTGCCAGGAATTTGACTTTGAAAAGGTGTTCTAGTGTTAAATATGTAGACAAACAACATGAACAGCGATCTCTAAATTTATTTGTTACTCCTGTTAGTCTCAGTCCATTTCTGTATGAAACTGAAGCTCATTGTGTTAATATCTCCACATTTATCAATTCGATGTGAATAGAATTTGGTATGGGGTCAGTATAGTGTTTATATTCTTATTCTGCTCATCTAATCTTCAAGACTTACACAAAAGAGTAAAACACAATGCTTTTTGCCCTACAGTTCTCCTTGTTGTTGCTGCTGTTTTGAATCTACAAGCCAAAGAATTGGATAAATTTAGTTGTAACTAAACAGATCTTTGTGCAGTCTGGCACAATGGCTGATAGTCTGAACTGTGATTTGAAGTCTCTGAGTCCTCTTCAGCTGTTTGAAAGAGTAACTGAACAAGGAGAGAAAGTCAGAGCATTGAAAGCAGGAAAAGCACCAAAGGTATTTTCAATTTCGTGTTTTGAACCTATTCTTTTTCGGTTTAGGTCTGTCTTTGAGTGTTGAAGAATATGATTGTTCTGAGATCTATTTTGCACTGTGATAAGAAAAATTCATGTTAAAAATTATTTATGTCCATTTCATGAACTGTGGCATACCTGGAGCAAGAGCAAATTTTTTACTCTTCTAGTAAGAACATAGGCTTAGAAGTCTGCTTCAACCAGTTGCCATGCTATGTGACAGGATCCAAATAAATTTATATTACTTCCATTCTTCCCTGGTTTTAGATGCTTCATGCAAATCTTTTTCTCCAAGCATTATTGTAAGCATCAGCAAATATGTCTTCCTGTAACTGCACTGACAGTCTCTGGTTAATCTCCCCTAAATTTAGTAATTTGCCATTACTTTTAAGTTCCTTATTCTGTCCTCACTGTGTTGGCAAAGAGAGCTCAGTTTTAATACAGGCTCTCTTAGTGTTATTGCCTGAGGGAGTAAGCCTTGAAAAGTGGGAGTCAAATAAAGTGTTGCTCTGTTTATTGCTTGCATGAGATTTTACAGTACCTTTATATTAGAAGGGTCATAATCATAACTTTTTGTTCGAGTTTGTCTTCAAATCTGTCAATGAATTGTAATGAATAAATTATTTCCAGGTGAGCCACTAAAAGCATTGTAAAGTAAATTAGATAATAATTTATATTTCATTTAAATATCTTAGAAGCTTATGCTTAAAATGTTTTAAATAAAGACTTAGAGTTTGTGAGTGATGCAATTCAAGTCAAAGCATGGATGCAGGATTTTGATGGGTTAAGATATTAATATAATTGTCTATTTTAAGTATGGTAAGCAGTTCTTTTTTTCCTTTATTCAGGATGAAATTGATGCAGCAGTAAGGATGCTATTATCATTAAAACTGTCATATAAAACAACAACAGGACAAGATTATCAGGCAGGCTTGCCTCCAAAAGATCTTGTATTAATAAACAATGGTACAACTAAAGAAGAGGATGAGGATTTGGTAGATCCCTGGAATGTGCAGACGTCAAACGCTAAAGGCGTGGATTATGACAAGCTCATAGGTATAACTCTTCCTTCACTGCTACTAAGGAATTTATGTAAAGTGATCCTAATGACCACAGAATCAGCAAGGCATCATAACACATCCTGATCAATACCATCATAGGTAACATTTAATTTATGTCTAATCTTAGCATTCCCATGTCTGAAGAATTTGCTGTAGAAGATGAAAATGTCCTAGGTGGGGATTTCCTATGAAGGACTTAAAAACTTTGCAAAGAACTTTCGGGTTCAAAATAATGTTTTACTTGCAGTTGGATTTTTGGCATAAGGACTATTATTAGAAGTTGTGTTAATGAAGACACTGTGACTGAGTATCTGCATCTTCAGTGGCTGTTATGCAGAAGAGCTAGAGCCTAGATCATTTTAGCCAGGCTGTAGGATTCTTTCTGCCATCTCTTCATATCCCTTATGAATTAGGGAATGCAGGAATGATCCAAAACTAATGCAGAAGTTTATTAAGTATAATGACTTCTTCAGAAGACACACTAGCATGCAGCCAAGTGCTGGCTGGAATGGAGGAGTTGCAGCTCATTCAAAAACATGCAGTGTAATGGAAAATGTTTTAGACAGGAGTGTTACAAAACTTGCAAAGTTTTGTAATTTAAGAAACAGAGGTTTAGTTAGTTTCCTCATTGGTTTTACAGTTTGCTGTTTTAATAGCTTGTTTGAGTCTAGCATAGAAACAAGTGAGAGAGCTATTCATTATTTTTTCTATTTTTCCTTTTTTTTTATTATTGTCAATTTTCAATTCACATTTAGTACCTCAGTTGTACATTGCTGAGGTCTGCTTAGTAGCTTGTTTCTGACAACAGAGCATACACCCTTACGTGGCAGTAACCATGTATTTGCTTTTGGAAGCACAGTTGCTTGTGTCAGCATTCCTTTAACTGATGTTTATTGTAAGATCATATCAAATGTATGTGCATGTTGGCTTAGTCTGCAGAAGGTAACAGGAGAAAGAAAAAGTTGGAAAGGGAGAAGTGTGCAAAGAAAAATGTAGGTTAGTGGGAGAGAGATAAAAAAATATAATTATTAGAATCTAGAAGTGGGCAAGATCTGTCATCCTCTTGCTACGTGCATAGGAGTTACAGAGAAGGGGGTTTGTTTTCTTGGGAGAAGGGTTCTGAGTCTTTTAGAAAAGGAAGAAGAGTAGAATACTTGTGTTGGCACAATCTCATGATCATCCTGCAAATGACCATCGTGATTTCACTGTAAATCAGTTCATGCCCTTTTTTAGCTGTGTATATGTGTGTATGTATTTTGATATTCCCTAGAGTGGTGGGTTAACCTAAAGGGTTTTTACTCATTTTTTGCTAATTTGGCGAATTTGTTAGATGAGTCGTTTTGCTTCTTCTAAGTGATGTGTTGGAAATTTTTGAGAGTAGAATGCTAGCCTAGCCACTTAGCAAAGTGAAGGAGTTGCTGCTTGTTATTCATAAAGCTATTTAGGAAGGCAGATTCTTTGTGAATAGAGAGCCTAAAATGTTTTGAACGTTCAAATAGGACGAAATAGGTCATGAAAAACTACCCATTTTCTTAACAGGAAAGATGAAGATGGGCAAAGAAAAGGAAGTTGTGCAATCTGGGAATGTTTAATAAAGTTATTTAGGCATTTCCAGTTGAATGTTCTATATATCAGAGAGCATTTAGTCACTCTTTACTACAGTATGCAAAGATTTCTAGGATGGCTAGTCCCAGTTAATCTGGGATATTCTCATGTTTTCTATTTCTGTAAGATTAGCCTTTTAGCACAGTTGCTATTGTGCTGAATCAAACATTTTCATGCTCATTTGGTCTCTTTTTAGCATTCATCCAGATTATAATTATTTTTTCCATTTTGTAACACATTTTATTTGATAGGAAGAACTTCATTCAGTAATTAAGGCTTACTTAGGAGAAGCAGATATGTTAACACTCGAAAAACATAGGGATTAAAGTTGTCTTTGCTGAATCGCGTATCAACATTTATGGTTTTTAGTGACATTTATTTTAATGGCTCCGTGGATGAGCCAGTGCTTCCCTTTTATGATATCCTGCTTGACTCACCTGGAGTGAATGAAAAGTTGTAAGCAGGAACTTGTTTCCCATTGCATAATGCTGTAGACACCATGATGAGCGGTATGGTTGACACACCTGAGGGACAGGATGCCATCCAGAGGGTGCTGGACAATTTTGGGAAGTGGGTCCATGTGAACCTTATGAGGTTCAATGCAGCCACGTGTAAGGCCCTTGCACCTGAGTCGGGGCAATCCCAAGCACAAATACAGGCTGGGTAAAGAATGAATTGAGAGCAGTCCTGAGGAAAAGGATTTGAGGGTGTTGGTAGATGAAAAGCTGGACATGACCTGGTGCTGTGCACTTGCAGCGTAGAAAGCTCAACAGCATCCTGGGCTACATCAAAACCAGCGTGGCCAGGAGGTCGAGGGAGGTGACTCTGCCCCTCTGCTCCTCGTGAGACTCCACCTGGGGTACTGCATCCAGCTCTGGAGCCCTCAGCATAGGAAAGACATGGACCTGTGGAGCAGGGCTGATCAGAGGGCTGGAGCACCGATTCTGTGAAGACAGGCTGAGAGAGTTGGGGTTGTTCAGCCTGGAGAAGGCTCCAAGGAGACCTTATAGCCCCTTCTAGTACCAAAAGGGGCTACAAGAGAGATGGAGAGGGACTGTTTACAAGTGCTTGGAGTGACAGGACAAAGGGAAGTGGTTTCAAACTGAAAAAGGTTAGATATTGGGAAGAAATCCATTACTGTGGGAGTGGTGAGGCACTGGCACAGATTGCACGGAGAAGCTATGCAGAGAGAAGCAGGTTGCACGGAGAAGCCCCATCCGTGGAAGTGTTCAAAGCCAGACTGGATGAAGCTTTGCACAACCTGATCTAGTGGAAGGTTGGAGGTTGGACTAGATGACCTTCAAAGGTCATACAATCACAGAATGGTTTGTGTTGGAAGGGACCTTAAAGACCATTTCTAGCCTCCCTGACATGAGCAGGGACACCTTCCACTAGACCAAGTTGCTCAAAGCCCCATCCAGCCTGGGCTTGAAGGCTTCCAGGAATGGGGCATCCACAACTTGTCTGGTCCATTCCAACACAAACCATTCAATGGTTCTGTGATAATATGCCTAATTTTACCTCACATTTAGTAATTAATTCCTACTAACTTCAAGTTTAATGACTATATACAAAGCCTTGTAATAACAGGTACTTCTCAAATAAATTGAAACAGGCACAGAGGGTCTGGAACAGCAGAAATGCTTATGTCCAAGTTGATCTTCAAATTAGATGCATCACCACTCTTCTTCTCTGTCAAGACTGAGTCAGTCTTTCAGTGTGGATTTCTGATTTTTGTTTGTGAAAGGCTGCAGTGAATAGTTTAAATAACAAAACGAAAAACCAGTTCACATAACAAATTTAAACACACATCCCCATTTTCAGCCAGAGTGTAGGAGAGGAACTGCTTCTTCCATGCAGACATGTGTCTTATAACCATGAAATTTGCTAATGTAATCTCTCTTTAATAAGGTAGTTGGAATAGGTGGATCTGGGTATTTGGTACATAAAAGATTCATCTTTACATCCAGAGTCTCTGTTTTGTTCTCTTAAATACTTTGGCATTTCCAATAATTATTAGTGCAATGTTGAATAGTTCTAATGCTGAATAGAGCAGAATAGTAGCAAAGAGTAGATTTTTGTATGGATTTTTTTTAACAAGCTCAAGTTATAGAACATTGACCTGCTTATTACAGTCCAAGAATTATTGAGAATAGGAAAAATACTGCTATTTCACTCTATCACAATCTTTCCTTAACCACCAAGTTGTAAGTCTTACTTGATTGCCATGAAGAGCATTATGCACTACTTTTGCAAGGTTCTTGAGGGGACCAGTGTCTGTAATCATATACATATTAAAGAAGAATTGAGTTTGCAGAAGGGTTTGGGGTTGGGAAGTGAAAGACCATGTGGTCTGAGCAGAAAATTTAGACGTCAAGAGAAAAATATTCAGAGCCTCAAAGGCATTTTCATCCTATGACTTAGAGTGGCCAAGTTATTGACCTAAATGTGTTTCCTTAGCATGGTTTTTTGCTTGGAATATCAATACTTCTGCTGTAAGGAGATTACAATTGTAATAATTCATGGATGGAGCAATATTACATGTGAATGGACTGGGCCTCCTAGCATAGAGTTAGTACTGGAGATGTCTGTTGGGACTTCAAGCAAGAGTCAGGAAAATCTAGCCATTTTACCTGAGACTTGAAGAAGGAGATGTGTTTTTAACTTAACCTGCATTGGTATGCCATTGGTAATCCAAAATCTGTAGCGATGCTGTGCTTATTTTTATTTTTTTTTAACATTTTATGATTATAGTTCGATTTGGCAGCAGTAAAATCGACACAGATCTGATCAATCGAATAGAAAGAGCTACTGGGCAAAAACCTCACCACTTTCTACGTAGAGGAATCTTTTTTTCTCACAGGTAAGTTTTTCTTGTATTAAAATTTTGGCCTGTGGCAGGCAGCACATTTCAGATAAGTGCATGAGCATGATTTGGGGCACAGCCTCCACCAGAGGTCAGCCAAGCTGGTTGTTTGAACCTATCTGGGAAATGATTCCTAGCTGGTTTACTAGGCCTTAGAGGTTATTATCCAATGAAGTAATTTTAAAACTTGCGCAATTTTCATTTTAATTTCCAACATTAAATTTTAATTTTTAATTTAATTTTTCTTTGAGGGCTTTTTTTTTCCCTGTGGGGACTGAGGGAGATAATGCTTTTCTGAAATTAAAAATGAGGAAACTTGAACTTTATTTCTAGGACACTCAACATACTATATTTTATTTATAAAATTGTTTGGCTTTGAAAGCACTCAGATTTTGAGTAGAAGCTTTTTGCTGTGGATGTTTCTTCCTAAACAGTTGTATTGCTTTTTCTCTGTTCCTTCTTTAGAGATATGGACCAAATACTCGATGCTTATGAAAATAAGAAGTCCTTTTACCTCTATACAGGCAGAGGGCCATCCTCTCAGGCAATGCATGTTGGTCATCTTATCCCATTTATGTTCACAAAGTAAGCCATTTCTACCATTTGTATTAATCAAAGCATTTTTTTCTGAAGGAAACATTGAACATGGTTTAGGAAACTGCCAAAAGGATACATTGCAAGGAGATCTGATTATGTGAGGTGAATATTAAATGAACTCAATTCAGTCTTACTTTTTCACTAAAGTGATCATAATCCCTGCATCACCATACAGCCCTTTTCCTTGTTCCCTTAGCCCCGTGGCACTCCTTAGAATTTTTGTTGTTCTTAAACACAAGGTGGTGATGAGACTCAGTAACATTACTCTGTAATGTGTGTGGTGCCTGCCGCAGCAGGACACAGAGACATGGGGCTCAAAAAGCTAAAGCCTTTTTGAATTTTGGTTGCATGACAAGTGGTGACTGCTGTCATATGTACAGGAAACAATAAGTGCGAGGCTTTTTTCCAGGTAAAATGTCATTATAATCTCCATAAAATGTTTCATGTGCTCACATAAACATAATTGCATATGCATACAAAGGAAAGAGAATCAGATCTCTTCATATATTTTTTGTTTAAATGTATAAAAATGTTTTATCTGTGTGACTTACATCTTTAACTTATTTTGAGATAAAATCTCTCTTCTTCTATTAGGTGGCTGCAAGAAGTATTTGATGTTCCCTTAGTTATACAGTTAACTGATGATGAGAAATACCTTTGGAAGGACATGACAGTTGAGAAAGCATATGAATATGCTAAAGAAAATGCAAAAGACATCATCGCATGTGGTTTTGACATCAATAAAACGTTTATATTTTCAGATTTAGACTATTTAGGGTAAGTATAAATTTCTTTAGGGCGTTGTAATGAAAAAAAAGATGTCTGGATTTTCCCTCCGACTCTGACAGCCAGCAATGTTTTAATAAATGTATCTAAATTTGAAAGCTTCAAGGCAAGTGTTATGACACTTAAAATAGAAACATATTATTTTTTCTGCTGTCTTAACTTTTTATACGTACTACTGTCATTCTCCTGAATAACATATGAACAAATACTTGTGTGTGCAGTGCTTAAATTATGAAAAATGTATTAAACCAGTTAAAGTGAAAATACCTAAACCACCAAGAAACTTCCAGATTGTTGTTTGGTTGTTTTTTTTTTAAGATGGCATCAAAATCTTTCAGGTGCATTTACACTTTATCTGCATTAACAGAAGGCATTGCAACAACTTTTTGTGGTCAATTATTTTAATAATACAGCATGAAAGATCATTCAGTAAAGTTTAAAGAAGACTTAAGAAAAATAAATTATTATTGAACACTGCCATCTCAGAAGGAGGAAGTTGTGTGGCAGAGTTCAGAACTGAATCTGTGGGCTTTGCTCTTCCATGTGGGGTGATGAGCTTCCTTAAAGACTTGGATGAGAGAATATATGTNGCTGTGTAATGTACAGCACCAGAACGTGGAGCCTACAAAGCAGTTTTGTGTCTTTTCACCCCCCTGAGTTTCCTGTCTTAGCAAAGTTGCTTTAACACTTGACTCAGTGGCTGAAGGAGGGCAGGTGAGAACTGCTGTTTCTTTTCCTTTAGCTCCTCAACAGAAGTTAGAAAGGAAGAAGTTGCAGAGCTACTTTTGATTTGGAAATGCTGCTGCTGTGTTTAGTGACAGAGAAAGTCCAGCCAGGGAACTTATCCTGTAGAAAATTAGAATCTGGAAGATTTGAGCTACTGTTCCTTCAGGCAGCATCAGTGTCTTGTATGAGATACACACTGAGGATACCAAGCAACACAGAAGACATGATCTCTTTAAGTTCCCTGAGTTCATAGAGAACCATAAGTAAACTTCAGGCTCCGTGAGGCATTTTGGCACCATTTCCAAATCTAAATATTTCTGGATTTAGACAGTTACTCATGAAAAAAAATATTTGTAGTAAATGTTGGGGAAAGGGAAGAACAAATTAAACTTTCAAGGGTTAAAATTCCTGTTTGTAAAAAATTCTCTAATTATTATCTTAATGGGCCACAAAAAGTCTGAAACTATGAGATTTAATCCTGCAGGTTTTTTGACATTCTCATCTTTTGTAGTCAAAGTTTCTACATCCACTTTTTTGCTCTTCTCATTTTATTTTTCCACTTTTTTTTTTCCATAGGACAAGTCCTGGATTCTACAAAAACATTGTCAAGGTTCAGAAGCATGTTACCTTTAACCAAGTGAAAGGAATCTTTGGCTTTACAGACAGTGATTGCATTGGTAGGAAATCAAATGAGTTACAAGAAGCAATGCTTACTTTCACTTTTGATGGAGCTATTTTAAGTAATAGTTTAAGGAGATTAGTACTGCATTCATGAAAGAGGCAGAAAAATCAAGAAGATCATGTTTCTAGGCTGATTCTGATTCTGTGATATTATTGTAATTCCTTCAGAATAGAAAATCTTTACAGTGAAATTTCTAGCATGATATTTACCTTTTTGGCCTTAGTAACAGCAAAACACTGGTGTTGAAGGGTTTGAAATAGAGAGCTACTTTTTCTTTTTTGGTTTTTGTTACAGTGACTGCAGCTGTAGTCAGTTATGTCTCCTAGAAATTTCTATGCCAAATTTTCAGAAAAAGTTTCATTAATACACATAGGCATATACATAGATGAAAAAGTGTTAGGGAGCACTGAAAAGCCTAATTATCAAGGTGCTGGGTAACTGCTGTCTTCCATTTACTTCACTACAATTACAGATTTCTGTCACTTTGGCAAAAAAAAAAAGATTCTATGTAAAGATGTCATTGAATCCTTGGTGTTCCTGAGCACTAACATCATTTTTGTTCAGTAGTTATGCCAGTGACAGCTTTTCAGCCTTCCCTGTAACCAAGGATGAGATTTCTACGTGTTTTAACAGTTTCATAAAAGTTGGTATCGTGATAATGACTTCATTACATGTTTGCAAAGTCTGCTATTTGCTCTCTCTTCTGACAGGATTTTGTTCAGGGAAGGATATTGGCCATTCTGTGATTAAGCACTGTATAAAAAAGAAAAGTAGACACATCTGAGATGCTTCCTGAGTCCAATGTGAATATAGCAACGATTCTAAGGTCTTAGAGGGAAGCTTGCCTGATAAGTGACTCTGTAACCATTCTCTCACAAAGAGGAAAAAAAAGCAGGTCTGAGTGGTGACATAGTCAACTGTATTTCTGGAAAGGGTAGATAGTTCAATGATGAAGAGAGTATGCAGTGATGAACTATTTCTGAAATCTTTGTGGTCACATCTTGCCTTTTGTCATTGGTTTCTATGTCAGTTGAAGGTTTGTTGACATCACAAAAGGTAAAGAGGAGAAAGTTTCCTCATATAAGGCAACATTGCTTGATAAAGATAGATCTTGGTCTTCAAGTGAGTATCCAGATGGTTCACTTGTGCATTTTACATATTTCAAAAAGCTCTCTCTATTTATCACAGCTTATGTTGGCTGATTAGCTTTTCCAAACATGCTGTTTTCTAGGTAAGATCAGCTTTCCTGCTATTCAAGCTGCCCCATCCTTCAGTTCATCATTTCCACAGATCTTCAATGGCAAGGAGAACATTCAGTGTCTTATCCCATGTGCTATCGATCAGGTAAGAAAACCATATTATTTGATTAGGTTTTCATGAATTTGGTTTTGTAATGTACCATTGAAGTTTCCTGGTGATATCTCAAAGCATCTGTAAAACATTCCTGCAAGCACCTTTCTGGGATAGAAACTGGAAGATCTAAAAGATGAGAAGACGAAGGCTTAACCCAACAATCGTGTATTCATGCATTACTACTTTTTGCCACTCTTGGATCTCTCTTGATCTCTACTCAATTCACACTGAGCTGACATCTATGAAAGCAAAGACAGTAACATCTATGCAAAAGCATACTAACATGGTGGTAGGAAGAAACTTTTGTCCATCTCCATGGTAGCTAGGACAAGATGGAATAAGCTCAACTGGCAGCATAAGATTTCTGGTGAACCATGGGGAAAAACTTTCTCTCAGTAAGAATAAGGAAGCATTGAAATAGTTTGCCAGAAAGGCTGCAAAACCCTAACAATTCAGATCTGGAAGATCTGGGGAGCTGGAAGAACACAAATGACAGTAATAGAGTCTTTAAGTAAGTACTGTTTCTAGGAATCAAATCCTGCACTGTCTGACTCTTTAGCTATGTTAGTCACAGGGACAGTCACTGGAAGATGGTGTAAGCATATTCACCAGCCACAATATTATGTAGTAATATCACAGTTGATTTAAGTCACATCACTGTGACAGAGCATAGCACTGCCAGCTTCATCACTGATTTAGTTCAGATTCTCTACTGGTTATTAAAATGCTTTGGGAGGAAGCTTCCATCTTAGTCTGCATCCATCTCCAGGCGTACTAAGCATAGTTTCCACAACTATTTGAATTCATGTAGAACTTTGTAAACATGCCTATTACTTGAGGGAATCAGAGTGTACAGCAAAACTATGGAAAAGAAAAAAAGGAATTTTGTTTTTTGTTCCTCTGAATGTACTAGATTGGAAGTAGGTTCTGAAACATTTCATGGCTTGGTCAGTTTTTGGTTTTTTGGCGTCACCTCTTAAGGCCTGAATGAGTCAGCACTAATCAGTTTTCAGAGTATATTTTTCAACTTTATTCTGTGCTTTTACTGTTTTAGGATCCTTATTTTAGAATGACACGGGATGTAGCACCTAGAATTGGACAGCCTAAACCAGCCTTACTTCACTCAGTCTTCTTCCCAGCCTTACAAGGAGCCCAGACCAAAATGAGTGCTAGTGACCCAAATTCCTCCATCTTCCTCACTGATACACCCAAACAAATCAAGACAAAGGTAAGGACCTGCAAAACCTGATAGCACAATGCTTTATAACAAAAAGGAGTGGTGGTCATAGAATCATTTAGGTTCAACCATAAACCTAACAGTGCCAAGTCCACCACTAAACCATGTCTCTAGGTACTGTATAAATATAAATAGTCTTCAGTTTCATCCAAAGCAAGTGCTGCAGATTTTGGCCCACAGCTCCTAAAGACAATGCTCTCTCTACCTGACACTCCCTTGATGTCCTTGCCAGTTGTCTGACATTACCTTCAGTGGTCCTCACAGTTACAGCAGTTTTTTAGTGTTTTATTTGAACATATCTGAATCCTTTTTCCCATACATTTCATGGCAAAGCATCTTCAGGAATTGGCCAAGTTATGCAAATTTAGCTAGACTATCAAATATGATCTTTTGCCTTGCCAGCTAGTCTGACAGTACAAACATTATGTTTGTTTTTCTGGTGTCTGCAGAGCAGTGGTGTAAGAATAAGAGCTGTGGAGACTCCTGCTCTTAATATAAATATTATGTTGCCATAGTTTTGAAATCTAACAGACCATAATGTAAACCAATAAACAGCTCTTTCTCTTGACTTCCTCTCCATGCTGGGAGCACCAAACCTTGCACAGTGTCAGTTCCAACACAGGTCAGACCTTTCCTGCTGCTTGGGAATCTACTTCTGCCAATTCACAAATAAATATTATGTTGAATTGAGTTTTAGAAGGGATATTTTCTCCTATCTGAGTGTATTCCTAGTGCCTTTTCTAGTTCAAAGGAAGATCCCTCTTGTCTGATGTCAGAGGATTAGTTTGTAAAAGATTCATCTGTGTTTTGGTATTTAAAGAAAAGGAAAATCAGTCTTTGGGAGAGGATTTATAGACATGATACCCAGACATGAAATAACTGTCAAAACAAGAAGAAAAGATGTATATGTAGTTTCTTCTGGAGAGGCTTGGATTAGTTCTTTTATGGTTGACAAACCTGTGTATAGATCAGATTCTTCTACAGCCATCTATGATGATTCATTCTCTTTGGTAGAAACTGACTAAACAGTACTGTTTTGAAGAATTGTTGTTCTTCATGTGTTTGGATTGTAAGATTATAATAATTCCAGTTTATTTGCACAGTTACAGAGTTGCTTTAAAAAAAAAAAAAGCTGTAATTTCACAATATAGAATACATGGTTAATGGTAATATTGGTAATGTTCTTCCATGTGTTTTTTCCTGGCAAGTAGCTTGTAATCTGCAGAGATCCAAGATGCTTCATGTCCAGTTCATAAGTCCTAATTCTACTGTCTTTAAACTACTTGAAAAAATAACAAAATAATCCTAGCTACTTAGATTATAAAAGGTATAAAGAAAAATCGTGAACATGATGAAAACTGTTGAGTAATGAAGGACAAACTGAGATTTATTTCAGCCTCTGAAGCCCATGAGAAACGAGTCTTTATGGAAATAGAGCTTGAGTGAAAGACCAAATATTGTTTTGGGCAATAAATAAAAAAATAGAGTATGAAAGGTGACTTCTGGTCATGGATGAAGGTTGAAGAGAGGGTGGTGCTGCTGCATAAAAAAAATTTACTGCATGCAGCGTTTTTCAGGTTACTGGTACATTGCTAAGTAATGAAGTTCTGAACTTATAGGTAATATAAGATGAAAAATTACTATATATTGGGAAAGGCTGAGAAGCTTCTGGGTAATCCAAGGAGATGAATGGCAACATTTTAATAAACTATTCTTATTCCACCTATCAGCAAATTACAGCTCAATTACTTGTTAGTTTTCCTGGAAAGTGCTATTTAGATTCTACATCTGTAGATGTATTCAAGCATTCAGGGAAATTCTGTGCAAAAAAATCAGTGAAATACTGTAGGTAACTCATTGAAACCCTCAGTCAATTAGTAGGTGGCAGAATATGTTAAAAAAAATGAACTTGAAATAATATAAGAAATATTTTGTGTAAAACAACAATGTGCCTTCACCTGATAGAGAGGAAAAACTGTGGAGATGAGGAACATTGAAAAAAGTTCATACAGACTTAAAATCTACTAAGGAGAGAGGTCAATTCAGAACAGTATGTAAAAACTTGGTTTTATAGATGCTGAGACAGCTATTCAGGCTGTCTTACAACATAAGAATAGATGTAATGTGGCAGATGGCAGTTCACTTTCTTAAAATATTCATCAGTGCATCATTTTTGATTGTAATTTGTTGCCACAAGACATCATCTGTAACATGGTGGTTAGAGAGATTCAAAAAAGTGCAAAAAATCACTAGACAGTCACACAGATAGTAGGAATATTCATAAATTGTAAATATATAGCAGCTCCTAGATACCAGAACTAAAAACAAAATCTACTTCGTATGCAAATGTGTTTCTTGGCAGGTTGATTATGCTATCTCAAAAGATACAAGAACCAAATGAAAGCTCAGCATATGTTCAAAAAATAATTTTTTCCCTCCTCTAAGTAATTTATTCTCTTTGAATTTGTAGGAAGATTAGCATCCTCAGAATTCTACTTATGTATAAATGTATAAAATAGGCTGGTGTCCTCAGAATTTACCGAGGATGGGATTAGCAAGTACATCTGTTCACCAGTACAGTTCATCTGCCTATAGGAAACTGCTTAAAAAGAGAGGCAGGATGTCAGCAAGTATTCCATTTTTAGGCTGAGCAATAGGGCATTGGTCTGATTTTAGGCATTCCAGACAGAGTTTTGTAATCTTTGCTTTCTCTTGCTTTCCTTTTATAGCAAAAGAGGAGATTAGGTTCTCTCTAGGATTTCTTCAGAATTTTCCATGCCTCCTTCATCCTTTCAAAATTAATTTCTTGATGAAGTAAATACCTTTTCTTACATGAAGTACGTTTCCTGTGAGCACAAATTCTGTCCAACAGACAACAGCTTCAGCAAAAGGGACTTAAAACTTTTTAGACTGAATCTTGAGTGGATTATTTTTAATTTTCACTTCATTTTTGTACTGGTTATTCAGTCTGAGGTATGTGTGTGTAGCCATTTTTCCCTGATGGGTTCTGATGATGTCCTTTTTTCAGTCCTGAGGCTCTGCATTATCTTGTCCCAATCACCCTTCAGTTAGTCCTTAATACAGAATCTGGAGGATCATGATACACCTCTGTTTACAGTAAAGTAATCCAGAATTTAATAGAAATTATACCATAGCATCATCATATTGTTTCAGATTAACAAGCATGCCTTCTCTGGAGGCAGAGATACTATTGAGGAGCACAGGAAGTACGGAGGGAACTGTGACGTTGATGTGTCTTTTATGTACCTGACATTCTTCCTGGAAGATGATGACAGGCTCGAACAACTGAAGCAGGTAAGTAGCCAAATTGAAGATAGTGCTGTTCATTCCCTACTGTGAGGACAAAGCTGTAACCTCAGCCCTCAACAAAGCTGTGACTGAGTCCTCCTGTGAACCTTCTCCAGGAAGGTAATTCTGGTGTTACTCTTGTTCTCTCTATCCCTCGCAAGCGTCAATATTAGTATTTGTTTGTTTGCAATGTTCTTTCTCACAGGCCAATCTATCTCTTCTTAAAAAAAAAAAAAAAAAAAAAAAAAAAAAAAAAAAAA